TTTTTTTTTACAAATTCAAAGATATACCAACAAATTTTTTCTGTTAATTTTTTTTGTTTTTTGCCGTTTTGAATTTGAAAACAAAATATTCAGATATTCTACAGTGATAAGTTATTTTTTGTATTTTTTTTCTAAATAATTGATTAAAATCAACGGGAAAAAGTAGTGACATTTTTCTTTTTTTTTTTGAACATTAAAAACAACCGACAGTTTGTTGCAATTTTTTCTCTTCTCACGATCATATTTTCTTCTATAACAGCTCTGAGTGACCGGAATAACTACAAGATCTTTGATCGGCCTTTATTTTTTTAAAATAAATTTATAAGAAAAAGAGAAAAAAGACCGTTTTTTGGGCGAAAGAATCTTGGGCAAAAGTTTATAAGTTTAAAGCTATGGTTAAAGGAACCAAATGATTACGGGGTTTACCACAGAGCAGTACCAGTTCTGTGGTTTAGTGATATCCGATAGGATGGGGCTGAGACCAAAAATAAGTATTTTCTTTTCAGCAGTATTAATTTTGACGCTTATAAGTTTTCAGTCAGAAACAGTAGACATTGTTTTTTCTTTTTCCTTTTTTAATTGGTATCTGTTTTGCCTTTATCGTTGGTTTCAGCAGATATTATGGTGATATTTAAATGTTCGCTTTCTGAAATCAGTCTCACTAATCTTGTTTTCTTAGTTGATTTTACTACTGCTGTTGCTGCATTTTTTGGTGATATTTCATCCTGTTCTAACTTTTTGAATATCATTTTTATATCGTTTCAGAATTTTTTTGTCATCAATTTATTCCCATTTTTTTCTTGTTTTTTAAATCAGTTTTTTTCTTTCAAAATTTTCAAACTTTTATTACAAATTGAAAGGAGTAGAATGTTGATGTTCATCTTATTTTTAATTTGCCTTTTTCTTCTCTCCTTTACTGTTTACCAATTAATTAAACATTTTGTTATATTTAAGCGGTTATCGTACCGTTTTCTTCCACATTATCAATCAGTGAAAAAATTAATGTTTTTTTCTGTTTTTTTTTTTCACAGTTTTTTAATTTTATTTGACGAAAACGTTTTTAGTTTTTACTTCTATGCCACTGAATTCGCTTAATCAACTTTGTACGAATGACAGTGGTCAAGTTCCAGAAGATGAGAGAAAATCAGAAACACCACCTCCAATACTGGAGTGCTATGCAAATGCACAAAATGTTGACGGTACAATGGTTGTTGAAGTAAATTTTTTTCCTGTTTATTTTTTATTTTATTTTTTTTTTTTTTAAAGGGAAGGTAAAGGGGAAGGATAGAGGCGTTACAGTAAGGATGAAGAAAATTTTGATAGAAATCTTTTGTATTATTGTTGTCCAAATTAATTTTTTTTTTTTTTTTGGGTTTAATTGGATTTATTTACTTGGTATTAGTTACCATATGATGGTTTCAATGCGACTACATTTATGAAAAGGAACTATTTCTGTGTATTGACTAATATTTTTGCCAGGAAACGGATGACTAAAAATTTGTAGGATTATATGAGGATGAATGGTAATGATGAGGCTCCTATTATATTGGCCAATGAAACTTTACCCGAATCGCAGCAACCGCACAGTATTTATGGTCCTGTTAATCTTGAACTTCCCAAAGCTACTACAAGTAACGAAATTAAAAAAGCAGTTATTCCACGGCGTGAAAAAAAATTTGTTTCACCGGTTGAGGTGATTGCTGTTTGTATAGAATATTCAATGAATATTTTCTTGCCAA